TGATTGCTAGTATAAAATAGTTGCATATATAATATAGATATGTTGGTTAGACGTCATATGGTACCTACTAAATAATTCTCGTTAACTGTAATAATTTTAAATTTATATGTATTGATATTTTAATTAAAATCCCAACTCTCAATGCTAATTAATGTAATAACGATACATATAACTGAAAAATTGCAGTAATTGTAATCATTTTATTCTTTAATTTTAAATTAAACTATAATTAATATGATGATTGCCGATATAGCTCTGTATTATTATTTATACACTTGATATTTCAGCCGTTGCATTTTTTATTCTTAACTTAATTATTCTGTTTTATTTATATCAAACGTTATTCTTAATTTTTTTTTTTTTATCATTACCAATAATCTTTTTGAAATTATTTTAAGGTCTGTATTACATTTTTTGAGCCATTGCAGATATTTACGTACCTAAATATGAACTACAAATATCTCTTCCGCAATATAATAAGCTTATTCTCTCTAATGCGGCTTTACTACATTTGGTAGGTACATTTTATTTCTTTTCACATTAATATATATCTTGTTTATATATAGTTACATATTAAAACTGCATTTTAATTTATATGTAAACATAATTTTATAACACAATTTGTTCAACATAACATTACATAGCAAATGACCCAATGTAACCTTGCTCCCATATTTCGTTGAAATTGCATAATTTTTTTTCTCCCACGAACATCAATGTAATGTTCTTTCCCACGTAATTCGTCATCATCGTCGTTGTCGTCGTTGTTGTTATTCGGATCTAATGGAGCATCATTGTATCTTACATATTATCTGAAATTGGGGTCACACATATACATAACACGTAAACCTACGTACATACTTGTATAGTAACTCCTTATTAAATTGAGTTTATGTGTAAAACATTGCGAAGCACATAGAAATTAAGAATAACTACCAACCGTGTCTTCTGCTAGATTCCTAATTTTTTGTAGGTATTTATTATACTTAGTATACTTATGTAATAAATCTATTGTATATACTAGATACATATTATGTTTGTGCAAAATAACCTAGTAAACCAAGTTTATATTGGTTTGTTATCGAAGGATAACAGATTATTATATGTGTGTCCACTTTCCAATTTACATTTATGAAACAAGTTTTGTAACTCAAAATCACCAGAGTTATTAACGTATACATTTTTTAATTATTGTTTTTACGAACAACAATACTATTGAAAATTAATCTTACTATAAAAAAAAAAAAATAAAAATGTATTTAATTAAGTTTTTGAACTATAAATCAATTAGACGATTTTGTAGTTCTATGCATTTATATATATTGTTAATTTATGTTGTATATTTAACAACTATCAATTATTTTAGCGTGCAGTTAATTTGTTTCTTTTTAAAAACGAAATAGTACTATTAATTATCATGTATACTTATATCGTACTTTTCAAGTTTATGATGCTACTTACATTTATGACAATATGAACCCTTCATCTGTAAATTTATCTAAACTTAAACTTGATATAATCTGTAATGGTTATCTATAAGATGCTATATTAGCCATGATAATTAAACGGTACAGTTTAGCAAAATAAAAATATGATGTTAATCTAAGTATTCAATATCATGATTATTTTTTTGACAATAATTATACGTATAGTTTATTTTATAATTATATTAAATAAATTTAATTTAACTCGAGTTAGGTATATTAATTACACTCACGAATGTATTTACATGTTGAGACCAATTTGACTATTATTTAACTTGCTGAGGTCTATTTCACTTAAATACAATTTATGTCCATTAAAACTGATGTATTTGGAATTTTATTTGACTATAACATCACTTTACAAACAAGGAAACTATAATTCGTGCAATAGTGGCCTTTCTACACTTTTGAAACAATTTTAATATACGTTTAAAGCTTTAATAATATTAAATGTATTTAACACATTTTATTAAAGTATACTCCATCGTATATGAATGTAGCTCTATGGCTAAACATAAATATTGAAAGTATTTTGTATTTTTATCTTTTGAACATATTAGTCGATTGAATAAAAGTTACTCTGTACAAATGTATAATAGGTATTCTCAGTAGGTACCTACACCATTAACCTTACCACGCGGACTACCAAACATAAAGTGCAGGACTTAATTACAATTCTAAGCCACACTCTTTCACTACCTAATAAACAGTTCTTTACAAGTTAGTGTCCGTTTTTATTATACCGCATTTAGTTTTGTTTACAGTTATAGAAATAATTTGAGTACTTACATAGGTAATACGTTATACGCAGGGTTAAAAAAAGTCACGACATTATCGAGGGTGATATGATTTTTTTAAAGGGCGTTTAGCCGTTGAACTTTCCCTGAGATATAAAACTAGGTGTCAATATAAATACGAACATTTTAGTAGCCGTTATATTTTATTATTACGACCTTGTGATGGGCCCGCGTATGTATACATATAAAATATACTTAGCATTACAACGGCAATGTCGACCGGCGGTTTTGTGGTCCCCTCCCGCAGTAGTTACTTCCTTCTCCGGAACGCACAAATGCACAATCAAATCGGATTAGTATATTATTAAATTATATATTATTGTTATTACTATCATAATCTTCATAATTTGTTGTCACAGTTATGTTAATTGTTAACACCTCTGCTGTATACGGGATTAATATTGCAGCGGTCGTCAATCTCCTCCTTGTCGATTATTGTTCACTATCACGTCATCATGTGCACGTTCGTTTAATAACACTATATTATACGACAATCTGGACACGGTTGGTAAGATATATAGATGTAATGATCGCTTCAAGGTTGTGACCGGATACGACGACAGTGACCATCGGGAGAAAGACCCTCATCTGCGTTCATGACTTAAGTTTCCACGCGCGCAATGGATACGACTCGGTTTATACAAATCGGAGGTTAACTCCCCCCTACTTGAAAAACTCCGTATACCATTTTTACTTTATATACCTGTATATAGCGTTTGCGCCGTGCAAAGGTTTTTTTTCGTATATTTCGACACGATAATGGAATAAACAATTCGTCACGTCTGACCATTGGCGGCCTAGGTTCACGCGCGCGATTTCTTATATTGTACAAACGGGTGGCATGTTCTCATCTAACTAACGTGGTCGTCACTGTACATCCTTTGTTTGTAAAAAAAGAAATTCCGTTCAATATTTTCCAAAATGCCTTGCTGAATATTCTTTTTATTATGTATATGTATATTTTTTAATCAGTCATTTAATGTAGGTACTCAATATATTTAAGCTTTAAGTATTTGGGTGTGACGTTGTAGTACACCTTGTGACTGACTTTGAAGATTTTTAAAAAATTGAATTATTTATATTTTTGTCTGATGAAAAAAAGAAAAGATAAATCACTCTTTATTTTGGTTTTATTTTGCAACACCTATTTAAATTTAATTACTTAATTTTATTTAGGATTTCAAAGTACAAAACTATACGAAACGTAGATAGTAGATACTGTTTAAGAGTTTCTTTAAGAATACAAATTATCAAGATGTTTATAAAATGGAATTTAAAATATTAATTATTAATGTAGGTACATTTATAATTAAAAATTAATAGCATATTATTTTTAAAATAATGGGTAGGAAGTATTAATGAATATTCATTTTTCACATCTCTTATACATTATAATTCATATTATATGTTACTATAATAGTGTATTACTGTGATATACATATATCTAGGTATTTTCATATTAACTATATTAATAACTGTTGAAAAAAGTAATATTTAGTCCTTAATTATTTGAATAGCAATAATAATATATTTCTATATTTAAATTTGCTAAATCATTTATTTTTTCGTACACTTATTGGCAGTATAATAATACGAGTATCTACCTATGTATATCCAACGTAATACACTATAGGTACTGTTAAACTATTGGGGATTTTAATCGATTCGATGGGGTCAGTGGTAAGTGTGACTGATTTTTGGTGTGTGAGTAAAATAAAAATCTGGTAATACAAATAGTTAGGATTAGTTTGGTGTTTTTAACTTTATGTTACGCCTGCTTTCATTTAGATGAACAGATTTTAGGCTGTTTAGTTTATTAAAAACATTTTTAAATAAATTCATGAAGCTCATATCAGTAACAAATCTTTTGTGTAGCCCCTAAACAAAATTTCCATGTAAACTCTATCAATGATAACGACTAGAACACGTGAGATTATCTAATAAAAGATTTCGGAAAAATAATTACAGCAGAAAAAGAAAAAATGAACTATGAGGTGTGATAAATAGCGGAACAATTTAGTTATGTAGGTACTCTTATAGTTGGTTACCGCTGGGTAAGGTGACATTTTGCTAAATCTATTATTGTATCCGTTATTATTATACTGTATTAGTTTGTTCCAAATATTTTTTTCAATTTCTTTCGTAGTCCTTTATATATTAAAATATTAAAATATTAATAATTTATTGTTAGTTTTTAATTTATAACTGTTTATGTGCTGCACGAAAAAAAAAACAAAATAATAAAAATAATAAAATAATTAGTATGTAGTTTAACATAATATTAAACTCTTTTTACAATTAAAAAAAAATGAATAACATTATTAAAAGTTATTCAATTTATTTAAAAAAATCTATTGTTTAAAACCTACCTCGTAAAGATTTCAACTTCAAGTCTTAGAATAGTCAAGTCGTTAGGGACTTTATTTCTATTAAATTTATTTAGGTTTTTATAAAAGTCTTCAAGTCACGAATTAAAATTAAAATTTATTCATAAAATCTGTTTCTACTATAATAATATTCAATCTGCGAAAGAAAATAATTTTTAACCATAATTATAAAATGTAAGTACTTATACATTAATATAACATCTAATAACCGAGTAAAAATCTATGTGTTGTAAACATTATGTATGTTATGTAGAATATCTATGGTCTTGAATACCTATATATTATTTATGTTATGAAATTACTAATTTACTTTTTTTTACATTATTTTTCAGAATTACATTTTGTATGAATTGAGAAAAATCAAATTTTAGTTATCATATGACGTAGGTAAGTTCAACATACAGTTTTATGTTATACCTATCTGTCAACTTTTAGATTTAAAATAATAGTGATTTTTACCTTTTGTTAGTATTTATATGATAATGATATATGAGATGATATAATATATAAGTATGATGTTGTTATAATATATATGTACCTATTGTACCTTTTATAATATATATATAATATATATATTTATTTCCAATTTGTTTGGGGTCGTTGTTTTAATTTAAAATTATCTTATTTGTATTTAATATGAAATTACCCGGAAATATTATATAATGTACCTAATATTGCAAAGTAAAATAATATATATCATATATGTATTATCTTATCGAGATGACATTATGCATGCGTTGTTACTTGTTTACGTCTAACAAACGCACTACAAAAAAAAATTTACGTTTAGCATAATCCTGTTATTCTTAATATATGAATGTATTGATTTATTATAAAACTAAAGGTAATAGGTACCAATTCTGCAAGGTTTTCAAGCGAGGATATTTTGATACTTAAATTTTGAAACAATCAATGAGTATTTAAAATTTCACAATAAAAATGTATTGTTATTATAATATGATCAAATATGAGAACTTGCTCCAAATTCAAAATATAAAAAAACTTTCGTATTGACCTAAATAATAATCTTATTAAATTTGATATAGATCAGTTTACTCCAATATTAAACCAAACATGATTAAATGGATTATTAATAACTTATACAATTTGTAAGACGGAATAAACACATACTATGGAACACTCTTAAATATTAGTTCTTGATTAAATGTGTAAAACGTTTAAGAATAGTAAACATATAAAAACCATCTATTTGTATTCAAATTGTGAATTTTCGATTCGAACATTGGTACACTTACACTTTACATTTTGTAGACCATATATGTATATTGAAACTAATTAGTTTTGATGTTTAAATAGCCCAGACTCTTTGCTGGTTGTCCGAATCATAATCATCATGCAAAAAAATAAAATAAAATACTAAAATCTTTATGCATTGTTTTAATCCTGGTTTTCAGATACTATATGTATAAATATTTTAATGTATGTAAACTGTAATCTCGCTAGATCGTAATAATAACATACTGATTTACTATTGTTCGAAGCTGTTTTACATATCGTGCCGGAAATAGGGAAATGAAAATAGTAGAGCATAATATGTAATCATATGAAGTTGTTGTTGGTGATTTGTTTTCATATACCAACATAACCATTCCTGTATCGATGCGATTTTTTTACATTATGCAAATTAAAATAAAAAGGCCAAGTTTTACTACATCTACATCACTACCCTACCCACCTATATATACCAGTATACACGTGTGAACCTATCACAGTCGACATAGCAGTTGTAGGGTTTTGGAATAATAACGACAAAATACAATAGCTAACGTAAACGGTTTTGTTGGACTAGATTCTCCAAAAACGACATTAGATAATATTGTAATAAGGTTTTTTTCATGTTTTACTATTTTATTAAATGATTGGAAAACATGGAAAATATTCTGTGCGATATTACATTTAACGAATACCTACCGATTATTTTGTTTGGGAGTATTTTACAACTCGGATTTCAAAGCATTACAGAGGTTGGTTTTATTTTTTTTAATATTAAACCATTTTCTAGCCTGGGCACTTACCGCTCCCGGGAGACTATTGATAAAAAGCGTTTATGACCTGTTCTCCGTTCACGAACACACGACTGTCAACGCGCAACGCGATACGTTACTGCAGTTAAAAAATATGTTACCGGACACGATTAAACACGACTACAACTGCACGAGTGGATATATTTAGTTGAAATCACAACGATATTATGTTGAATGAACCGTAACAGTTTGATTTCCTTGTATAGTTTTTTTTTATTTCGTTTACCAAAAATGACTAGAACCTAAATCAATAATGATACAAAGTGTCCTATACGCACGGAACTCAAATGAATCCTATTATTGACGGTTTCACTGTTACTTTAAATAGTAAACACTCCCAATAATATAGCGCTGAATGCAATGTGACAATATCCCACACCGAGGACGGTCGAAAGGTTGCCTTTTTAGTTTCAACTGGGCCCTGTGCATAGCTCCGCGAAATATTTTTCAAACGCAATGATTATGATCTGTATAGTTATAATTATAAGCCGGTAGATTTAGACATTTCCTCATTTTAGTTACAATCTACATAATATGATCTTATATCAAGATGACTGAATTTCTCTGATGTCTTTTCCCTAATGTCCCTTACATATTTTTGTTGACTTTATTCGACCATTTTAGTCGAAGCGTGCCTAGAAAGACAAATGCCGAGAATTGTACGAATAATACATTTATAAGTTATCAAACTATTATGTGATAATATTAAACATTAATAATTTAATAACAAATACAGAATATACCTTCTTATAATATCGTGTGTAATTTTATATTTTGTGATAGTAGGTATGTTACAATTTATTTTTTTTCTCATAATTCTTTATTAGGCCATATTTTATGTTATTGAGCTGAAAAATAAGTTTAATTGATAGAATATAGGTAGTAAATAATAACATACAAATATTGTGTTTAAAAACTTCCCGGTAGAGGTACTTGTCTAAACGTTATTATATATTCAACTATTTTAAAACAGTTAAAGATTCTATCATTTTAGTGAACTGCATTATTTATACATATATGATAATATTACTACAGAGTATTTATGTTCCAACTCAATGACTCAATAGTGTTTTAATTTTTAATTTAAATATAACAATTATTTTCTACTTATCTACATAATTTCGTAGAACTGTAAACACTTCACTTATGGCTCATTTATGTTATAGTTAAAAATCAAATTAAACTTTTAATTATAATCAAAAAATTGTATACCTATTATTCTGTTCTATGATAAGTATGAGTTTTTTAAATTGCTATATTGTGAAAAAAGTGCCCTATTATATTACAAATAAAATTACCGAATTCGTTTACTAAAAAGCGAATTTATTATTATAGTATAGTGTTATAATTAGTAATATAAGCATGGTTATATATGTGTAGATAACTGTGGACCTAACGTACAATTGTTCATGTGATATTTGTATGTATAATTTAATTTAAATATTAATACCTATACAATATAAATGTCATAATTATTTCCTTGTGTCTTAATGATTTATAAATTTCATTTTCGTGAGAATTATGTAAAAGAGCGACTTTATAGTTTATAAAGTGTAAATATACTGCCTGTGCGTTCGAAATTGTTAATTTGCAACCGTGGTTGGGGAGACGATCGATCCCCACTTTACCACGCACTGTAACAGTCGGACTTTAAAAACAAATATACGTTAATAGTCGACGGCCCAGTACTCAATAGATCTCTATATATTATTTCACAAACTTTTTCATGTGAACTACTTGAAACGTTTTGTAAATTACCTTTTCGGGAAACCGTAACCGTTCTGTATCTATATTATATCACTGTGATCGATATTATTCACGTTAAAATCTCTGTCAGTGACGATATATCGAAGAGAGTTTGGAGGTGAGACGTTCCACCGGGTAGATCTCACCTGCAGAGAAAAGTGAGTTGAAAGAATTTTCTGGATGTGCCGGTGAAATCAGATAAATCGCTAACGTCCAGGACTATTATTCGTCGTCGCATAGGGGTCGTAGATGCTGCAGTACACCGGTCCTATCTGTATACACTCCTCAGTCATATATTTGATGTCGCCGTCAGGTTTTACACTTTTCAAGACCATTGTCTTTTAGCCCACACTCACTTTTTTATATGTGAATAACGGTGGATGTATATATATTATGTGGAGAGAATACTTCACACGCATAACGTAATAAAATATTATCACATTAAAAAAAAACATTTTAGAAGTTGACGCTTTACTTTTCTGCCCCAACGACCATTTATCTCGAGTACCGAAGCAGGGTTTGTGATAGTCTCGCCGTCTCGGTGACTACTTACTATATAATATGACTATTGACTTCTACCTGAACGGTATATAATATATATGCAATATTGGTACCTTCTATATTATGATTTGATGGCAATCAATGATCGTGACTTATCTACCGCCCATGTGTAATCACGGCCCGTCGTGTCGTTCACACGGCTCTCCGCAATACGCGCGTGCTATAGGAGCACCCAAAACGATGAGTTGTGGTCGTCCGATTATATAGACGACCACAACTTGTTTGTCGGTCGTGTATCCCGGCAGTGGTATGTTATTTGTGTTGACGACAACGACGACGACGACGACGACATCGCATCGTCTTCTCTTTGACGCGATTATTTTACATTTTTCTTAAATTCGTGCTTCGATATCGACTTTCTAACTGCCGCGGTTTTCTCTGTTTTCGCGTTTGATGATTTGTAGTTTCATTCTTATACTTATCCCGAATGCCAAAAGTATTTGATGAATTAGGTGGATACTTAGTTTAAGATTATCAGCCAATATTCATTATTGTGATTGCTTGAATTTATAATTTTACCAATTATTACATATAGATTTTACATAATTTCATGACTTTAAATTAACTAGTTGTATTGCGTTCCCAACATATTCCAATTCACGAATAGTTTGTGTATGTGACTATTATTGATACATATCCCGAGTGTTATGTTATTATTCATCAATTTTTTATCAGTACCGAGTCATTTAATCTGCTATAATGTACGCTTCGAAAGTTTCGTTCAAAAATTAACAATAATACTATAACAAACCAGCCGCGGCTCGACTGTGGTTCGGACGACGCACGCGGTAAACCGGTTTGGTGACTGGTTTTTTTTTTCGGGGAGAATTTAAAAACAAGTAAGATACCTGGTACGCCAGCAGAGGATTGAGAGAGTCTGGTTTTAAATGTATACATATTATATTTTATCGGTTCCAAGTGGAACATTCTTGAAGACTTTCCCCACCCTGCTAAGCTATACGTCCACGTTAAAAATAATATGTTTTTTTTTTTTTTTATCGAAGACGACTACGACTCCAACGTGTGACCATGTGACCC